TTCACTTAATTTTCACTCCTTTTCAGGTTTAACTGATTTGAAATAATGGGTGAAGCCAGACAAAGCTTTGAACAAAGAAAATGTATCCTCTAGACTTTTTTATGGAGATACATAAAAGATAAAGTTCACAGTCCAAAGCCGACAACAGCCGACGAATTGAGGGCAGCTGTTGAAAGAGAATGCAGACACCGAACGAAGCGATTCTGGGTGTCTGCTATTCCACTGCCTCGCTATCGGCAGTGCCTGGAGCAGAACAGACGTCAGTTTGAAAACAGGTGTTGACAAAAAAATTATCCATTTCTGTAGATACTTTTAAAATTTGAAAATAAACTGTATGTTAGTAAACATTGACTTGACAATCATTCAAATTGTGTATACGTTTTTTGGGACACCCTGTATAATCTATATGCAAAATAGTATACATATAGTAAGTGCTCAATAAATTTTGACATGGGTTGTCAATCCATACAAAAAAAGTATCATAAGAAAATTAAACCAATCTGAGTAATTCCTTAGAAATTCCAATACTATTAATATCAGACCATCTATCACCCAATCCCCTAATTTTCTAATCTCAACATGATCTGCCATAGTTCCAAGAGCAAGCTAGTCAATCTCCTTTAACAGAAGTAAACAAAACAGAGACAATAGCGTTCACATTGCAAAAAGATTTAAATCGTGATCTCCTTTAGTGTTTTTAAAAATACAGATTTTAGAATATTTAATTTACACAACTTCCAGGAACTTATTTCTTATATAAAATGTGGTAAACCTGGGTGGCTCCTCCCTTTCTCACCATGTGGGCCCACCAGCCCTCAGTTTCTTCATCATTAGATGATGGTGTGATACTGATTTAGCTTTTTGCTGGAACGACATGTAAACTAACATTAACCTTCGTAATCACATAATAAACCTGGGTAAGAATTTCTAATGACTCAAGAACACATTTTTAGGGTTGACTTGTTACTTAACATTCAGAATGTTGAATTGTGCATTTGAATGAGAGCTAAAATCAAGTTCAAATTATTTTGAAGATGAGAAATTTACTTGTTCTAAGAAACACTAGTGAGTAGCTTTGTTTTAGCCCAAGGGATAATTATATATCAATAGATTTCTAAGTACTGAGCTAGAACTTCTTTTTTTTTTATCTTTACCCGAGGACATTTTTGCATTGATCCTTCCTATAGAGTGGGAGGGAGAGATGGAGGAAAAGAGAGAAACATTGATGTGAGAGAGACACAGTGAGTGGTCGCCACCCACACGACCCCAACCGGGGCTGGGGACAAACTGCAACCAAGGTACCTGCCTTTAGCGGGAACCAAACCCGGGCCTCTCCAGACCGTGGGGCGGACGCTCTAACCGCTGAGCCAAACTGGCCAGGGCTGAGCTTGAACTTCTTACCCTTGTTTCCAACAATAAAAACTAGGCACTATTTTATTGTACATTATAAAGATGCTCTCAAATATTAAAAAGAGATAAGGATGCCTGGCCAGTGTAACTCAGTGGATTTATTTTCAGCCAGAGTGGGAGGGAGGGGAAGAAGGAAAGAGAGAAATATCGATGTGAGACACTGAGGTACGTGCCCTTGGCTGAAATCGAACCCAGAACTCTTTGGTCTGCAAGCCAACGCTCTAACTGCTGAGCCAAACCAGCCAGGGCAGGAACTGAATTTTTAATTTTCTTTAATAAATTAAAAGCAAATAGCCCCATGTCACAATTGGCTACCACATTAAAGCACAGTACTACATTATTATATCCTCTCCATATAAAACTCTCAGTGAACACAAAACTCTGAAAATTGGGTACTTCCTAAATTATAAGATCCATTAATGAATATGTATTTCACCATCTGTGTAGAACAAAGGAAATATGTATTATAAACTTCCATGTATGCATATATGTTTGTGTACATATATACATCAAGTATAAGAATACATCATCACCAGCTTGTAACATTAGTTGCCTCTGGGAAAAATAAATGGGTAACTAAGGATTAAATACAATTTTTAAATGTTTTAAAATTTTGATTGCTGATTTCCACACTTTGTTCTAAATTTCTTTCCTACATGGTTCAAGTCAATGACTGACAGTTGAACTAAATATTATCTTCTGGATATGTCTATTACTCAGCTTCTATAAAACGTCAACACCCTACCCCGATCCCATCCTGCCATCCCATCCCCAGCAGTCCAAGTTAGATCCAGCTCGTTGTTTTGACTACTGAAAATTAATTCATTTGCTTATTTTATAACAAAATGAGTATTTTGTTTTCATTTTCTGTATAGTGTTACTTCTCTTGGGCTCTTCTGCTCAGCGGAGTGATTTTTAGGGCTAGACCATCTGACTTCAAATCCTGACTGCTCCTTACCAGCTGAGTATCCTCAGATGTGTATCGAGTGTATCTCAGTTTCCTCGTCTGCAAAAATGTGAATAATAACCCCTACTTCACTGTCTCTTTGTATGGATTAAATTGATTAATGTACATAAAATGGTACCTGGTATAACTAGCTCAAATTTTAATGTTGTTAGCTATTATAATATAAACAGGTGTATGTTTACTTTAAAAACTAGTTTTAAACCTCTATAAGCCCTTAAAGACAAAGACACAATTCTGTATTGTGCTCTAGTTTATTAAAATGTAATAATATCTATCACTAAAGGGTATAACTTCTTAGATTTGTGAAATCCCCTAAAAGCAGATTAGTAACAGTTCTCTTTATACTGAAAACTGACTTTAACAGGATTGAGTTGTTATGTTCTGGTTTTGTAAAACCGGAAACTTACAATCTAACTATCATACTCAGTGAATAATAAATTCTATACAAAAACATAAACATAATTTTTTACAATTTTTATTTTCTTTATTGATATTAGAGAGAGAGAGAGGAAGGGAGAGAGAGAAAGAGAGATAGAAACATTGATGAGAGAGAACATTGATCGGCCGCCTCCCACATGCCCCCGACTGGGATTGCACCCACAACCTGGGCATGTGCCCGGACCAGGAATCGAACGCAACCTCTTGGTGCATTGGTTGATGCTCAGCCACTGAGTCACACCGGCCAGGCATAAATAAACATGATTTTTAAGGTAAAATGTATCCAATTATACAGTTTAGTTCTTAATTCATGAAATAAAGAAGGATTTATGTTTTAAAAAAAAACATTTATTTATGAAGGAAAAAAATCCCGAACTAATAAGTGAACTGCTCTTATTTACATAAGACATTTATTAAGGAAAAAAGCATCCTGAGAGACCAGGACCATCTTAATTTGCCAGTGAAATCAGACAACTGAAATACAATGTAATAGAAACAAAAATTGTCTTTTTCCATAAAACCAAGTCTAGGAATGCTAGTAAACTTAAATGCAAATATAAAGGCTGCAAGACCAATTTTCCATATAAATACCTTCCAAAGGTCCATTTCAGAGATAGGGATGAGGGACTTAGGATGAGACAACCTTTGAATCAACATTTTACCTTCAGCTCTTTGCTTCACTGACTTCTGACAGTTTGGTAAATTGGGGGGTCATCACATTTTTTTTAAATGCCAAAACTTGACAAATACAATCTGAGAAAGACAGTATAAATTCCAAATGCCTGTACCATTTTCTGTAGTTCCCAGCATTCTACCTCAAAAAGTTAGCAGCCACTTCCTTTAGATGGTGCAATTTTAGCAAAAAGCATTATCCAAATTATAGGAGAGTTAAGGTAGCACTAAAATCATATACCCCAAATTAAGTCTTATGCCATTTTGTTATTCTGGATTATGTAGGGTGTGTGTAGGATGATGTAAGCAAAGATTAACTCTTTGGGGGGGAAATTTTCCAAAATGATCCTAGCTCCCGGTTTCCTCTATATGTTCAGAAATCTTCCTCTTTGGAATTGGATACTACTGACCATCAATATGGTCCACTTAAAAATGGGTCTCCATTCCTCATCCTCCCTCCCTCCGCCATGGTCTAAAAAATGCACCACCTTACCTAGTTTGGGACCTGATTAGAGATCCATTCTCAGCCAAAGCTGAAACAAGGATACTTCGTCTCTGATGGTTCCCAGATTTCAGTTTAGTAGAGAGAGGAGTCGTGGGCCTTGACGGCTCTCTTCTCTGCCAACATTATTTTTGCAACTATTCTACTACAGAAGCTATTTTCCTTAAAAATACTGAGATTTATACGTTTAAATATTCAAATGCTATGGATCAGGACAAGACTTAAAGGAAGAAGTATTAATTTGAAAATAACAAGAAACCTGAATGAGATACTCTTAAGAGAGGCCCAAATTCCTGACTTTCAAACTCCAATTTGACTCTAGGAAAAAGGTCCAGAGATGTCATACAGTTCCTGATTCCACAGAAATATTCAAATAACTTTGCTGTATTTCTTATCAAATTTTGCTTAAATTTTAAAATATCAGTGCACAACAGCAGCACTGAAAGTAAGACAGAAGCATAAGCCTTCCATTATCATTGAAGAGCCTCTCCAATCCGATTAGAAAAGCAGAGGTACCAGGAATTGGCTTCTTTTAGGGAATCCTTAAAAAAAAAAAAAAAAGCCATTTGGAATAAATTCTGCACATCAACTTTGAGATTTTCTTTTTTTTTTAATGAGTTAAATTATTCTTGTCTAGCTAGGTGAAAAATTTCAGAGTAATTTTATTTGGAGGGGATTGGACATAATTTGGTACCTTCCCATATGGCAGTGACATGGAATAACAAATGGTAGGTGGGGAAGAGGAGGGAGGAAGAACATAAAGTACAGAGTGAATTATGAGTAAAAAAGTTTCAGAAAAAAGTATGGGAAAATAATTTGAAACCATAAGAACAGAGAACCAAATCGTGTGTGTGTGTGTGTGTGTGTGTGTGTGTGTATATATATATATAATTTTATATCTTAAAAAAATAAAACTGGAATGTTATTTCACTTAAAATGTACAGCATGCAAAATGCTCCGTAATGGTAAAAAAAAAACAAACAAAAAACCACAATGTAAATTTTCACAATTTTTAGGTAAATGACATTTCTGGATCAAAAATTATCATTATAAACACTGTAATCAAATGTTATCTTTTTGTTTCCAGCATTATAATTTGCTGTAGTTCATAAACTTCAGTCTAAGAAAGCTTTAGACACTGACCTCATACTGGTGGTTAGGTCCTTATGTCAGTCAAGCATTCACTTACCCAGCAAAGAGATCACTGAGCATGGACAATGAGTGCTACCTGAACAATTAACAGTGCATATGAGTTGTTCTGATGACTGGAGACAGAGCTGTAGTTGTACACTAAATTTTTAATTACTGAATTGTATATTTTTTCACTTTGATACCTTATGATCATTAGAAAACTACTGACCTAATGTTATAGCCATGTATTATGCTAAATACCCATATGTAACTGCAAGAAACCCATGTTGCAGACATATCACCATGATAGTATACAAAACCATGGCCACAAGCTTCTGCATCAGAGATTGACTTCTTTCCCTCTCTCTTAAAGCAAGACTTATCCCAGTTCAGATTTACATAAGTAGTGCCTATTTTAAATAAATTAAAAATAAAATGCTAACCTGTCATAAAATTATAAATATTTCTAGCCCATTTTACAGAATGTCAAAATACTTATAAATGCATTATGTCCTAGTAAATACACTTGATGGCACTGAAGCCAGTTAAAAACAAAAAAACTAGTAATTACAATGACCCATGGAAACATCTACGGTTGTTTTATATCTTTTACCATCAGAAAAATTAAGCCAAATAAGAAAAAAAGCAAAGAAGAGATAAGAAACTTGACAAAACGGCAACTACTATGACCCCAAAGGCTGTATTTAAACTCCTTTCTTTAATATTCAGTAACTAAACCAATTCTGGAATGAACATTTATGGATTACTCGGTTAGGAGAGTGTTCCTCTTAGTGCTCAGGGCAAAATTACAAGGTGTGTAGAAATAATTTCCACATTCTATAAAGAAAGACAGACTGAAACGGAGTGACTATTTAAAAACCACAAACCAAGATTTAGCCAGCATGTTTCAGATTGGCAGGTTTTGATGGAGTGAAGTCTTCAGTAGAAACAAAATAAAAAATCATAACTGTACTGATGCTGCTTATTTTACCAATGTGAAGAAAGGAAACATGATTGTAAGGTACAATATACTCTGACAGGCCAAAATGAGAAATTATGATCAACTTAAGTTGACTAAAATGTTTCCTACTAAAACATAAAAACATGATTTCCAAACTGATTCGACTTGCAATGTGTCTCTTAGAAGTAGTTTTAGTTCTGTGGATTGTTGAATTGCCCTTGACATAAAGTATTTCCTTCATCTTCAAAAAAAGGCTTCTGAATGGTGTTGACTCCCTCAGTGTGGGAGAGAAGGCTCAACAAACTTGATTCCAAGGCTCCCTCCAAAGTGATTCATTCCATCAAATCTATAATATCTCCAAATCAACGTGGCGAACTTCGGGATTTCGTTTCTGGAAGGAAAAATCATCACCATGTTATTCAGAGCAAACCAGAATCTTTTGTTTCCTTTTTATTCCTTTTGATCACCAAAGCCACTGAAAACACTTTATCAAACTATATCATAGTAGCATACTCGCAAGAGAAATTTATTGCATAAGGAAAAATCAATAGATGATTAGATCAAACACACTATAAATGATACAGCAAGTAATCTCACCAACTTGAGTTTGTCATATGTTCATTAATACAGTAATGGATTAAGACTCTATTATTATCCTAAGTGAAAGAAGCCAAGCAGAAAAAGACAAATACCACATGATCTCACTTATATACGGAATATAATGAACATAACAGTCTGAGGAATACAGTAGACCCAGACACATGGAAGTAGGGCACAGACTGACATCCCTCAGAAGAGGGGGTGGGGGGGTGGGAAGAGATAAACCACAGAATTTATATGCATGTATGCATGACCAATGGACATGGACAACTAAGCCAGGGATGGGGCGGGAGTAGGGTGGGGAGGGGGGTGCCAATGGGGTAAAAAAGGTAAAATATCTGTAACAAAAAAATAAATAAAAAAAAAGAAAAAAAAAAGAATCTATTATGTGCTAAGCATTGCCAAGCACTGAAAATATGCTCATTTCTGATAAAAAGAAAATCATTGCAAAACAGTAATCAGAAAAAAACACATTGATATTCACTTATTTTAGTAACAACCCATACAGTCTTAGACCAGGCACTGTGCCATAAAGTGGAGCTATGATTATTAAGTAAAACTCTGTTCTGGACCCTGAGGAACTCAATTTAGCCAGGGAGAAAAGTGTAGCAATAACCATCTATGAGCTTAAGCACTATAGTTAATAACAACAGTTAACATTTAATGAGTGCTTACTCTTGTGTCAAGTACTATGCCAAGTAAAGGGCTTCAGGTACATGTACTTTATTTATTTTTTATTATTTAATTAATTTATTTTTGTTACAGATGTTTCTCCTTTCCGCCCCCATTGACACCCTCCTCCCATTCCTGCCCCACCCCCCAGTATTGTTGTCTATGTCCATTGGTTATACTTATAGGCATAAGTTCTTTGGTTTATCTCCCCCCCCCCCCCTTGAAGTTTGTCAGTCTGATCCCTACTTCTATGTCTCTGGGTCTATTTTGTTCATCACCTTATTTTGTTCATTTTATTCTACAAATAAGTGAGGTCATGTGATATTTGTCTTTCTCTGATTGGCTTATTTTGCTTAGCATAATGCTCTCCAGGTCCCTCCATGTCATCTCAAAGGATAAGAGATCTTTCTTTCTTACAGCTGCATAGTATTCCACTGTGTATATATACCACAGCTTTTTTATCCACTCATCTATTGTTGGACACTTGGGCTGTTTCCAGATCTTAGCAATTGTAAATAGTGCTGCTATGAATATAGGGGTGTATATACTCTTTCTGATTGGTGTTTCAGGCTTCTTAGGGTATATTCCTAGAAGTGGGATCACTGGATCAAATGGCAGTTCAACTTGTAATTATTTTGAGAAAACACCGTATTGTTTTCCATAGTGGCTGCAGCAGTCAGCCTTCCCACCGGCAGTGTACTAGAGTCCCCTTTTCTCCACACCCTCGCCAGCACTTGCTGTTTGATGATTTGTTGATGGCAGCCATTCTGGCAGGTGTGAGGTGATATCTCATAGTCTTTTCAATTTGCATCTCTCTGATTAGTGACATTGAGCATTTTTTCATATGTCTCTTGGCCATTTGTAAGTCCTGTTTGGGGAGGTGTCTATTTAGGTCCTCTGCCCATTTTTCAATTGGGTTGTCTTCCATTTGTTGAGTTGTATGAGTACTCTATATATTTTGGAAATTAGCCCCTTATCTGATGTATTGTTGGCAATGATGTTCTCCCATACAGTGGGTTCCCTTTCCATTTTGATGGTTGTTTCTTTTGCTGTGCAGAAGCTTTTTAGTTTGATGTAGTCCCATGTGTTCATTTTTTCCTATTACTCTTGCCTTAGGCATTGTATCAGTGAAAATTCTACTGTGTGTGATGTCTGAAATTTTGTTGCCTACATTTTCTTCTAGGATTTTTATGGATTCACGGGTCACATTTAAGTCTTTTATCCATTTTGAGTTTATTCTTGTGTATGGTGTAAGTTGGTGGTCTAGTTTCATTTTTTTGCATGTAGCTGTCCAATTTTCCCAACACCATTTATTGAAGAGGCTGTCTTTACTCCACTGTATGCTCTTGCCACCTTTGTCAAATATTGAGCATAATGTCTTAGGTCAATTTCTGCATTCTCTATTCTATTCCATTGACCTATATGCCTGTTCTTATGCCAGTACCAGGCTGTTTTGACTACAATGGCTTTGCAATATAACCTGATATCCAATATTGTGGTCCCTCCTACTCTGTTCTTCTTTTTTAAGATTGCTGTGGCTATTTGGGGTCTTTTTTGGTTCCACATACACTTTTGGAGTGTTTGTTCTAGTTCTGTGAAATATGCCCTTGGTAGTTTAATGGGGGTTGCATTGAATCTATAAATTGCTCTGGGTAGTATGAACATTTTAATTATGTTAAGTCTTCCAATCCATGAACAAGGCATATGCTTCCACTTTAAAAAAATTTTTTTTTTCTTTATTGATTTCAGAGAGAGAGAAGGAGAGAAACATCGATGGGCGAGAACACTGACTGGTCGCCTCCTGCATGCTCCACACTGGGGATGGGGCCCACAACCTGGGCATGTGCCCTGACTGAGAATCAAACCAGCGACTTCTTGGTGCATGGGTTGACACTCAACCACTGAGCCACACCAGCTGGGTGCTTCCACTTTTTTATATTTTTCTCTATTTCTTTTTTCAATGTCCTGTACTTTTCTGCGAACAGGTCCTTTACTTGTTTTGTTAAGTTTATTCCTAGGTATCTTAATTTTTTTATTGCAATAATAAAAAGGATTTTTTTTTTTTTAGTTTCTCTTTCTATATATTTATTATTGGTGTATAAAAATGCCAATATTTCTGGATGCTGATTTTGTGTCCTGCTACTTTGATGAATTCATTTATTAAATCTAGCAGTTTTTTTGACGGAGTCTTTAGGGTTTTCTATGTACTATATCATGTCATCTGCGAATAATGACAGTTTAATTTCTTCCTTTCCAATTTGGATCCCTTTATTTTTTCTTCTTGTCTGAATGCTGTAACTAAGAATTCCAGTACTATGTTAAATAAGAGTAGTAAATGTGAATCTCACTGTCTTGTTCCTGTTCTTAAGGGAAATGTTTTTAGTTTTTGCCCACTGAATATGATGGCTGTAGGTTTGCAATAAATGGACTTTATTATGTTGAGATACAATACCTTAATTCCCACTTCACTGAGAGTTTTTATCAAAAATGAATGCTGGATTTTGTCAAATGCCTTCTCAGCGTCTATTGATATAATCATGATTTCTAGCTTTCATTTTGTTTATGTGGTGTATCACATTTATCGATTTAGGAATATACCAGCCTTGCATCCCTTGGGTAAATCCCTCTTGGCTGTGGTGTATAATTTTTTTAAATATATTGCTGGATTTGATTTGCTATAATTTTGTTGAGGATTTTGGCATCTATGTTCATCGGAGATATTGGTCTGCAATTTTCTTTCTTTGTAGTGTCTTTATCTGGTTTTGGGATTAGGATTATGCTGGCCTCATAAAAAAAGCTTGGAAGTCTTCCTTCCTTTTGAATTTTTTGGAATAGTTTGAGAACAGGTGATTGTTCTTCTTTGAATATTTGTGTAGCCATCCGGACCAGGGCTTTTGTTTGCTGGGATTTTATTGATTACTTCTTCTATTTCCTTAACTGTTGTTATTGGTCTGTTTAGGTTTTATGACTCTTCCAAGTTGAGTTCTGGAATAGCATATGATTTTAAGAATTTGTTCATTTCACCTAGGTTGTCGAATTTGTTGACATATAAATTGTTCATAGTATTTTCTTACAATTCTTTGTATTTCTGTGATGTCTGTTGTTTCTTCACCTCTTTCATTTTTGATACTTTTAAATCTTTCATAATAACCCAGTTATTTCCATTTTACATATGGGAAAACTTAAGTTTGAAGAAATAATCTAACCTGTCCAAAGTCACATGGCTAGTAAGTGATGGAGCCACAGAGTAGATTCAGGCCTGACTCCAGACTTTAAGATCCTAACTATTATAATATACTAAGTAATAACTCTGGCCCTGGTTGATTTTGTTCAGCAGTTAGAGCATTGGCCTGTAGACCAAAGAGTCACATGTTCGATTCCAGTAAAGGGGCACGTATCTTGGTTGTGGTTTAGTCCCCGGCCCTGGTTGGGGTCGTGCGGGAGGCAGCCAATTAATGTGTCTCTCTCATACTGATGTCTCTCCCCCCGCCCCTCTTTCTGAAGATAAATGGAAAAATATCCTCGGATGAGGATTTAAAAAAAAAAAGTAATAACTCTGGGAACAAAAATGTGAGCTATATTTCTTATGTTCATGAGATCCAGAAAGACTTCACTGAGTATATAAGTGAGGTTTGAACATGGTGTTTTCCAGATAGACAGGATGAAGAGGGTCTAGACAGATGAAACAGCATGAACAAATCAGCCTGGAAAGGCAGGCAGAAGCCAGGTTATGAAAAATCTTAAATGCTAGCTTAGGAATTTCACTTCGGCAACAAAAAAATATCTTTAAAACATGCCTACCCTGTGCCAGCCACTGAAGTATACAACATTAAACAGAAAACAAATAGTACTTGTCTTTGAAGAACTTATATCTAGTGAGGGAATACAGCTAAGCAAGCAGGCAATTATAATAGTGTGCTACTACAGAGCAAAGTAAAGGTTTTGTCCCCCCCGCCCCATGGGTACATAAAGGAAAGACACCTAACTCAATTTGGGGGGGATTAAAAGTGCAAAACAGCCCTGGCTAGTTTTGCTCAGTGGTTAAAGCCTCGGCCTGCGGTCCAGAGAGACCCGGGTTCGGTTCCCACTAAGGGCATGTACCTCGGTTGCAGTTTGTCC